CATAAATGAACTGCTCTGAAATTCATTTGTAACTGCACCAAGACCACTGTCTCAAAAAGCCCCTTTTACATTAGTAATTAATCAGATCGACTTGCCACAGTTTGCCACAGTTTTCAGGGTTTTCCATTATGTCACAGTACCTGGTACTTGGTACTAAATGGTGCCTTTTTTTTGTATAGATTAACCATGACAGAGACACACAACCATTAACCTCTTTATGAATTAGAAAAAAGAGATGCTAAATCTTGTCATATTATGATTCTTTTTCAAATGCATTAGATTAGTGCTATCACTACAGGGGACAATGCTGCAGCCTTATTTGGTCTTGAGCTGCACGTTTACAAGGAAAGAGGATGATGCTTTTCCTTCTTTTACTTTAAACAAAACATCTCAGTTCAGTTCTATTCTCTGACACACTGTGGACATTTTCAGATTTGGTAGAAACTCTATCAAGATTTTATTCACAGCAAAAAAAAAGTGTACAGTATCTATTTCATCTACTGGCATCCATAAGCTCCTCATACAATGTACAAATTTTCACATTTACTATTTGACAAAAAAAGGAAAAAATATTAAGGAAGTTATTTATTTTGCTTTGGAAAAAAATTGTTTTAATGATTGAATGTTATGTCTGATTAATTTCTGAATTCTCAGACTGGTCCGGTGTGCCAACACGTGTTGGGTGTGCAGGCCAAAATATGGGTATAAAAAGATGAATTCAGTTCCATGGCTTTAGTTTTTAACAAGTTTTTGCCAGATTTAAAAACAATATTTGTGCTTTCCTGTTATTAATGACTGCTGGTCTAATAAATGTTTTACGCATTGTATCAGTATGATTTGTATTCATTCTAATACACAAAACTATTTATACAATTTTTTGCACAATTTGTTGGTTTGATAAATTAATCTTGGAACACTCCTGTGAGTAAAGCTGGCATACAAACATGAAATCACTTAAAATACAAGAAAAAGATCTTTTATAAAGCCCACTGAGCCTGGACATAAACCCAAAGCTACATGAGAGTTTCTTAAAAACAGGTATATGAGATGAATAAACTCCTAGAGAGAAAAAATGAAACAAAGTTTGATTTACCAAATCTGTTATGAACTAAACAATAGTAGTAAAGCACTCCCGGATCTCCCGAGTGATCGCTGAACAAGCTTTTCTTCTTTTCATCGTGGAAACATTCACGTGATCTTTTGTTTTGTTTTGTTTTTGCATTTGTTTTGCTGTAGTCTGATGTGACTATGTGTTTCACATTCATTCACATTGCTTTTTCTGTAATCGGGTGTCATTACACTAACTACAGTACTAG